GTATGTGCATGTGCACATGTGAGTACTCCAGCTGCTTTTTTTTTATTGTATATTATCCGGTAATATTTTCTCTTGGACATGTGGAACACAATATTCGTTGTGTGTGTTAGCCTGAATTTTGAGTTTCAGCATTCGCGCAAATGTAGCCCTCCCATAATTCATATCTCACTGTGAGATTGATTCTTTTGACGTCAGAATGCACAAGTTCTTCTAATTCTCAAGGCGAATTCTCAATTATCATTCATGGCTAACATATTGGAAATAAACTTAATGGACCAGTTTTTCTCACAATTGTTAAGTATATTGCTTGATGTAAACATAAACGTTGGTCGTGAATTTATTAGCAGTTCTTGAGTTGGTCATGAATTATTTGTGGTTCTTGAGGAATGCAAAATAATATTTTCAATGATTAGAAAGATGGGAATTGAATTATGGGGGGGAAAAGTCTTTAAGCTTCACCTCTACTTGCCATGTTGTGGTTCTTGCTATTATTAGGATTTCTTAGTATTCATTTTCTTAGTCCATGGAGCAATTCTGAGTGTTCATGTTTCTTAGTTCATGGAAATTCATAAGATTGCAAGAATACTTACAGTTTTTTATTTCATTTACAGCTCTAATGGGCCGACTGGATTTACGATCCGTAAGTCCGCTTATCTACATTCTTTATATTAAAGTCAGGAAAAGGGTTTTGGTTTTTGGTCGTTTGAATTCAACTATGCATGTGGATGGTGGGATTTACTTTGTAAACTGGACTAGTTAGGTATGCCTTGCCAACGCATACATAGTGAAAGCTCGTAACATCTGATAAAATGGCAATAAACAGTCTTTTGATGATGAGTGGGGTAACTTGCTACATATGTGATGTTCTATGCAGATGGACTTTGGGCAGATTATAATGATGGAGCCTGGCCTTCATGTTGTAGTGGGAAGAAATTTGATGCCAAAGAGGTACAGTTTCTAGGACCTCAAGTCTTGTTTACACCTATGTAGATGCCTTGAATTGTAGAAGTTATATGCCATTTGCCATTTCTTACTAAGTTTGTGGTCCTCTTTAAATATGGACATGCCATCTATAACGAGTTTCCTTTATCACTTGGCATGGAGGCCTGCTGGGCATCTTAGTTTCTTTTCTTTAAGAATAAAGAATTCCTAAAGGTTTTCTTTTCTATAGATATAGTCAACACCTAACCACCTAAATATTTCGTTGTTAGTAAGAAGGTCTCATTGTATGTATTTCGTTGATTTGGTAGTCTTGTTTATTACCTCATTTGATTTGATACCTCTGTCATGGAATTAGTAATTTTACATATTTGGTTGTTGAAATATGCTGCGTTTGTTTTTGTCTATAGATACGAGATAATAATTAATTGGTGTGATAGAGATGTTAAGAAATATGTAATAATGTGGTCAAGATTTGAATCATCATATGTAATAATTAATTGGTAGTTGTGTATAATATTTTCACCAAAAGGAGAGTCCGGAATTCATTTCTATGGAGGTTTTGATTTATTTAATTTATTTTATTGGATAACATTCAGTAAGTTTTTTCCTGTTTATTGGTGTGGAATTTATTCATTAATATTTTAAGTTGAAATATACTGTTCTATAGGTATTGAATTTATTATGTAACCTTGGTAAATCATTTCCATTCGAACTATTTATTTTATTCATATTATGTCTTAAAATATTGCCGATTTATCTTTTTTTATTTATGAAATGGTTTGGTATCTGTTTATATTTAATTATACTATTGTTTGATTTTTAGTTTTATTTATAATTCACTTACATAATAAAATTAAAAACACTGTACCAACTAAAAAATTCATTATTTAATTAATGTATGATATGACATCACACTAGCATATACACTAGTTTTACTCAATATTGACAATTGTCAATTTGGAAATTTTATAGGTTCACTTGTATATTGAGTAATATTTAACTGTTCAATGTTGTTTCATCTAAAATTTTGAGAGCAGATTTCTACATTGCTTGATGCTTTGAATAAATATTGGCCATCGTTAAGCTGCGGTTCTTCATCAAACTGCCACGGTGGAAAAGGGTTATTTTGGGAACACGAGGTTGTTAACTTACTCTGCTTGCTTCAAAATATGATATGATGATACAAGGGCTAATATTTTCTTTTTGTTTTTCTCATGTCTGGATTGCAAAAACGTCTGGAAAAAGTGGGGTAACTATCTTCCTGATGTGTTAATTCTCTTTTGGTTGTATCATTTTATGCGTGTGATTTGATAAGTAACACTTATCATATGCATTTATATTTTACAGGACTTACATAAGTGTGTTTTAAGTAATGCTTAATTTATTATGACATTTGGGTTGTGAATTGGTAGGTGAAGTCATTGTGTTTGCTTCTTCTGTGAACTCAATTTTCCACCCCTCATGATTCCTATGATGCTTACAGAACATGGTTGATCTGTGGAAGCCTTTGCATTAAATTTTCGCTTTATACACGTCTCTTCTCATTCATCACCTTATTGCAAAAATCTTTAAAGCCCATGGAAGCAAACACCAATAATAAGATGGTTGAAATGTGATATGAATTTGGTAGATATGTTGAATTGATTTATGTTGCTGATTGAAGTATTGGGTATGCATCTGTCTCCATCAAGGAAAGGAAGTACATCTAAAGTAGCACAATCATCAAATCATATCTGGTCATCGTCATATTAAATTGATGGAGATGTCACTGTGTGAAATACACCTAAAAGGTAAGATTCATGTGGTTTGTCTGTCCAATAGCTCATGGAATGTTAAAGACTTAAATTTGAATAGTTTTTTTTCAGGAAGAAATCAAAGTCTATTTTTCGTCCTAATCTATGTTGCAGTGCGCTTTGTGTGATGTTGCTAGATATTACCTTTTCTGTATTTGATGTTTGAAATCATAAGTAGGAACTAAACAGTTTTTTCACAGAATTTTGTGCATATGAAGTTCTGAAGAATATTTTATGGAATATCTTGTAACTTCTCTTCTTGACTTCTGCAGAAAAACATGGAACTTGTTCCTTTTCAGTTACTGGCGATGAATACAATTACTTCTTGACAGCACTTAATCTTTACTTCAAATATAATGTCACTGTAAGTTGACTATGTTCCAGTTTTACAATGTCATGTCTGTTAATAAAGTTTTAAATCCCCATGCTGGCTTGTTATGGACGATCATGAGTTCTTTAATCAGTTGCATTGAGCGTTCAAATTCATTAGAATTGCCTGGTACAGTTAAGGCTTCTACTGCATATCTTCTCTATTATGTGATCAAATTGCGTACGACCACTTAGTTTCTTAGAGCATGTTTGGATACAAAATTATCTCAAAAAAATCCAAACATTTTTAACTCAACCACTTTTTTAACTCAACTTTAACTCATCTCCACTATCATCAATATTATCAATATAATTAAATAATATTAAATCAATTATTCTTAAACACCACATCACCTTAATTCACTATTCATCTACTCACATAATTTTAACTAACCATCACTTCAAATCTCATCTCTCTTACTTTACATCAAATCAACTTTAATCATTTATTTTTAATATTATTTTAATATATCCACTAACAACTAACCATACCATCTTTTTCAAAACTAACCAAACCAAACAAAAAAATCCAAACAAAACCAAAATTTTTTATATCCAATCATCCTCTTAGTAGCTCTTTCACTCCGTCTATGAACATGTTACATGATGCAGGAAGTTCTGAGAGAAGCTGGATATGTAGCATCTAATTCTGAAAAGTATCCTTTGGGAGGCATTATTACAGCCATTCAAAATGCTTTCCATACAACCCCTCAACTCCAATGCTCGGGTGATGCCTTGCAG